ATTCTTTAATGAGAACAATCAATATTCCCTTATCAATTGATGTCTAAAATAGGAAAATAACGCAAAGAATTAAGAGGTGTGTTTGGAATTCTGGCGCCACTTTTCGCTTTTGGTATTGTTCTCATAACCACAAAATCCAAATTTTACTATTAAAGATAAGGCAGGTCTCAAGAGAGGTCATTCTTCATGTTATAATACTGCTAAAGACATTCCTAAATTTAATTTTTCTCACATAAAAATGTAAGTTTCTAATATAATATTGAATTATTTAAACTGTATTTAATTTAATAATATAGTATTTAATATAATATCAAATTTATACTGTAAATACAATATTTATACAATAAAACGGAACGTTAATAAAACGAAAACCTGCCTAAACAGAAAATTTCTTCGAAATGAAGCGATTTCCTATGTTAAAAAAACCTGTTTAAAACGGAAACTTAACCAAATCGAAAAAATATTCGGTGCCAGTCCGGTTTACACAGGTTTTACTGCATAACTATAATGAATTATTTATATTATACAGTAATTGCTCTAATTAATTTTATAAATATTTTAAAATATAAAACTCTTTAAACTATGTTAAAAACAATTTAAATAATGTATTTAAATAGTAAAATTTATCCTGAATACTTTATAGCATCTTGATGTTTAAGAAATATTCAGATTATTCAGAATAATTGTTTTGTTTTAAGGAATAAAAAAGTGTTTCGAATTATATTACAAAGTTTTTTGTATATGTTAACATTTATTTACAGTACAACCTGTCCTAGTAGAACCTGCATAAAATGGAAACTTGCCAAACCGGAAAATATATTCGGTACCGTGCGATTCCGGCTTACACAGGTTTTACTGTATATTAATTTTGTTTTAATTGAGTACAGTAAAACAGTATTATATAATATAAAACGTCATTCTAGCACTTTACTTGTGTTAGATAATTAGTAAAATTGATCCAAAATAATTTACAGTATCTTTATTCATCCCAAATATCTTTAATTATTCGATATATTCAGATTATTTAGTTATTTAATTCTACTTTAACCAAGATATTAACTAAAATTTAGAATTTATAACGTAACTTAGTTTTATTCTTATCCTGCATCATCCTTAATTATCTATATTATTATATAATTTCCATAAAATATTTGAATTATTTATACGTTAATTTACAGGAATTTTATTTAATTAATTTTTAAAAATTAATATAAAGCACTATATTTATTTATTTTATATATAATATGAATAATTGAATATTTCATAAACATCTCAAGATGCTGCAAGATAAGGATGAAATTAATATAATTATTTGTTATATATATTGAATATAAAACATTCCTGTTAAAATTATAAGTTAAATAAATGTTTAGTTATTTATTTAATTTATAATTTTAACAGGAATATTTTATTTTGTTATATTATTTTATATTCTAAGCTGTATAAATAATAATATAAATTTTCAAGTTCATCTTCATCATGCAGCATCTTTACTTTGGATCTTTATCCTCATCTTTACTTACTTGGGATGTTTATGAGATATTTATAATATTTTTTGCTTATTTTTATAATGTGCTTAAAATATTGTTTTATTATTTTAATTATATTTTATTATTTAATAAATTTTTCTGTGCAATAATTTTTTCGCATCACTTAATAACGTTTTCTAGTAATACACCGTTTATATTCAAGTAATAAATCAAGGAAGTAAACAAAAATTTAATTTCATTTTTAAAAAATATACGAATTTATATCTTATTTTTTTATTATTTTTCTCCATTTTGACAGTTAATAAATGATACTTTACATGATTTTTTATATTTTATTAATATAAAATTAAAAATATAATATCATTTCTAAGCTTATAAATTTAATATTTATTTACATTATTTTAAAATAAATTTATGTAATGAAAAATTGTAGAATATTTATCTAAAGTTTAATTTAAAATAATTTACAGTATAATTTTATAAGTGATAATGATGTAGGCTCTGTAATATAGTATAGTATATTATATATTCTACACATTGATTGAAAGAGGATTTCAGTTTGTTCGACTTAGTTTGAGTAAACGGTTGGGGATAAAAATATAGTTAAAGCATCAAATTAAAGCCCTTATTCTGTAGATGATGCAACTGAAGAGAGTTTTCAGAAAGATGCAATGGTTCAGGCGTGGCAAAGTGGCAAATGTACAATGTTAAGACTATGGAACCCATTCCCTGTTAATTTTATCCCCAGCAATTTTTTTTTTGTGTTATTTTGTAAATAATGAGAACAATAGATGTATATTTTAGTTACTAAGGCTATTGTTTTTTTATCACCTCTCAATTACACACCCGTTAAAAGCCTGGACAACATCGGGCATACGCAATAGTGTTATTATATTATATAGATGTAGGCTCTGTATTTTATATATAATATAGTATAACTGATAATAATGTATCATTCAAAAGGTTCTGAGGCCTTTATAAGAATTCCAGTTGTTAAAATTATTTATGACTTATTAATGTTATAAACCCATAAATTTTATAAATATATATGAATAAATCTTTAAAAATTTTATATAAACACATTATTTATCCATAGTTTTAAATGGTTAAACGTGTAGATAAATTCTGTTTTAATCCTATAAGACCCACTCTATGAGAGAAATTAATATGTATGATGTAAATATACACGAAAAAACTTATGTTAAATTAATATGTTTATTTATTAAAAGCATAAAATTAGTTTAAAATTTAAAAATATAACGTATTATTACGATAAAATGCTTTTTAATGTTTTGATAATGCTGCAGAATGTATTCAATATTTAATGTATTTAAATATTAATAACAATTTTCTTAATTTTATTATTAAATTATAAGCAAATTTATAATTAATTAATTTCGTCATTAATTTTTATAAAATTAATATTTATTAAAATTTAATAATTAATTAATTATTCAATCAAACTATTGGGTTAAATACCCCTTTACCTCCCTCTATTTTATGGATGCTGAAGAGGAAGAGAAGCAAAGATAGATGATAAATAGACAAATATACATATAGATAAATCGAAAATAAATGTGAATAACATAAAATAACATCATTATATACATAAATTTTATATATACATAAAAATTTTTCCTTCTTTTCATTCTCCGTGCCTTGTGGAGTAAAAGGATACAAATGAAGAAGAGAAGCAATAAATGATAAATACAAAATATAAATAAAAACAAATTAAAAAATGTGTGTATAATATAAAGTAACATTATTTTATACATAATTGTTATACAGTTAAACCTGTGTAAGCCGAACTCCCACGGTATCAAATATTTTTGTCCGGTTTGGCAAGTTTCCGTTTTCAACAGGTTTTTTAACACAGAAAATCTGTGTTCATAAGAATTTTCCCGTTTAGGCAGGATTCCGTTTTAGACAGGTTTTACTGTATATACATAAAAGATTCTTCCTCCTTTATATCCCTACATGCCTTGTAGAGTGAAAGGATGCAAACGAGGAAGAGTAACAAAGATCTTTCATAGATAATAAATATACAAACATACATAAAAATAAATTTTGTATAACATAAAATAACATTATTTTATATATAAATTTTATATATGAATACAGTACGTATTTTTTCATCTGATATACAATAAATCCGATTAAATGGTACTCAATTAATGCATCTTCTTCAGAAAATTATAATTCAATTTAAATCTGCTTATATATGTTTTTAATAAGAAAATATAACTTTAAATCATATGATGTTATATTAATAAACAATAAATTTATTTATTGAAATTAGTTTAGCAAGAATTATTTTATAGGAAGGGCCTGATTTCGAAAGAGGAAATGAGTAAGATCAGAGCATCGCAATTCTAGAATTGATGAATGAATTCTACTGTTTAAATTTTTATAAAATTAAAATAATATAAAAATAAAATAATTTTAAATTACATTTTTAATATTTTTTTTCTAATATAAAAATTTTCCTAATCATCTATTAACTTTTATCCTCATTTAACATCTCTTCATCTCTTGGTCTTCATCCTCCTCCTCATCTCGTATGATCCATAAAAAAATTAAAATAAAATTTAATTTAATTAAGATTTTTTAAAAAATAATTTAAAATTTTAATAATATTTTTGGACTAGTTAATTATTAAATATTAAAATTAATTAAAACTTTTGATTATTCACTTAAGAAATAAATAAAGAAATTAAAAAAATGCTGGAGAGATTTTATAATTAATATAAATTTAATATAATTAAGCGTTAAATCATATAAATAATTTAAATTTTATTGTATTTTTTTTAAATAATTAAACTTTGTCTAATTGCTATCGATTTATAATTTACGAGGTGACGATTTATTTATAAATCGAGTGCCAAGTGTTGTTTAATTACAATTATATCAAGGATTAAACTATGTAAATTTTTCAAGTGTTTAGACCAGTTAAGCCTTTGAAAAACCCTTCTTCACGTTACAGGTATGCAACAATGTATGCCTAGAGGCATAAAGGTATAAAACTGTGGGGCTAACGGCCCTAGAACAAGAAGGCACACCAGTTTCCATTGCATACTACCGGTCGATATTATGTACTATCGCTTAAAATCAGAAAAAAATTAATCGAACCCAAACCATACGCATGAGACAAAGTTACGCGAAAATGACCGAATTTCCACGAGAATTTTTTTTTGTTATTCAACGTTAAACACGTTTCTCCTATGACACTTCATGCTTCCTCTCTCTGTGTGTGTCTCTCTCTCTCTTGTTCTGTACGTGATACGTCACCGGTTTCTTTTATTGGCCACTTTCGGCCACGTGACCCTGACGTCACCCCACCAATAGGGTTTTAGCTAGTGCCCTTCACCGACGTTTTCCGGCTGGCTATAATGCTGGAGCTAGTCTTGTCGCATGACAGACAAGAACTAAAACTGCTGTGGGAAAGTCGAAACTTTCAAAACTCGTTTATGGAGTTTATAATCATTATTTACTTTCATATTTTCGAGTGAAATGTATGGACTCATACTAGAAAATTTAAGCCAGTATGTATCTACTACCTACGGTGAAAGTAAATGGGAAGAAATCAGGCGATTGGCTGCTGTTGATCATGCCACTTTCAGTACACATCATGTTTATCCAGATAACTACATTCCGCGCCTTACCTGCAAGGCGTGTAAGGTAAGCTCCACGTTAACTCGTATGTAAAAAAAAACACTAAAATAATCCTTAAAGGGGGGTGAAATTTATAATGTTAACTCTTAAAACAATAATTAAAAAAAATCCCCCGTATAAATAACCTAGAGATAAAAATAAATTCGAACTAATATTAGATATAATTGGTTTCCTCTTGTTTAATCAGACGTATACCAAGTTAGATGTGTCTTTTTTTATTTAACAGTTAAAATAACCTGTCATAAACGGAATTAATTTAATTTAATAACGGTTTTTATTACGATTAAATTTTTTTAGAATATTTAAAAAATTAGGTTATTTTTTAGTGTTTTGGGCTTTAATTTCTCTTAGTTAATGCCATTTTGTGTTGTTAATTATGCATTTAATTGTATTATCTGGGTATAAATGTCATTATATTTAAATGAAGTTATAAGTAGTAAATGGTTATCCGAATTCTTCCGGATGGGAGATACCAAATGTGTTAGAAAATAGGACATGCAACATATGGCAACACCTGTTTCTAAAATTTCAGATTGAACGCACTTGACATTTCACACTGTCAACTTTACTTTAGGAAATTGCGGTTTGTTCTAAACAGATCTAATCAATCCATAATGGAGTATTTACTTCACACTAAATTGTATTATTTATAAAATTTCATATAATTTAATTTATCCCCAATTTAGACTCTTAAATCAATTAATATACTTCAATTAAATATATTTAAGAGTCTAAATTGGGTTATATCCACACAATTTAACGATATTTAAATTGTTTTTTTCAAATATTTACTTACATTTTAATAATAAACATAAATAAAACCCTTGATAATTTAAGCATCCCATTAAAATATGTTTAATTAAAGTTTATTAACTGATTTAAGAGTCTAAATGGGGATATTAGTTTGGTTAATTTGTCTTTATTTAATTTATATAGTCTATAGGTAAATATACTCGTATATATATATATATATATTGAGCACCTCCCAAGACGATGCACACGTTCTAATGTATAAAAAGGATGACTAACAAAATCGATACTTGTACATTTTGTTGTGTGTAAATTAATTTTTCCAGCTTGTTTATTGTATTAATCAAAAAACATCACACAAATTCTCTAATCTTGTTTGTTTAGCACTTAATTCGATTTTTAAACTTGCTATTATTAATTTGACTTTTTTAAAATTTTATTTAAATACATTAAATTCGTCCCGATTTATAAATATATTACAATCGAACCTCCGATGACGGACACCTCTAAACGGCGGCCATTTTCTCGGGCAATTCTTTTTCTGAAACTCATACAAAATAACCTCCGAACAATGGCCTTTTTTTGTCTTCCCGTCGGTGGTCGTTGTTTAGAGGTTTGACTTTATTATCATTATCTAATTTTAAATTATTTCTATATAAAAGTAAAATAATAATAAAATTTTATACTGTATTTTAATTCATTAATTAATAATAATTAATTAATTAATTACTTTTCTTACTGTTTTAAACACTTTTAAAGCTTTGTAATGCAGTTAAACCTCAGAACAACGGCCACTGGAAGGAACATAAAATACACGGCCGTTGTTAGGAATTTATTTCGTACGCTTTTTTTTATTAAAAGCTTCGTAAAAAATGGTCACTGTTTAAAGGTGGCCTTTATTGCAGGTTCGACTGTGTAATTGGTATACAGTTAAGGGAGGTGAAGCAAATTATGTGCTGTATTTGTAAATTTTTATTGTGAAAATCTGATTTTAAATTAAAAACGTTTGGAAATAAAAATTTACTAATGGTGTTTATGGAAGATTTTGACAGGTTTATTGCCACAAATTGCTCATAAACAACTTAAATTTTAAAAACTTTTATATGGTCAAACCTCTGAACAATGGCCACTGGCAGAAACGTAAAGAGATGGTTATTATTCTGAGGTGGCTGTTGTTTACAAGTTATTTTGTACGAAATTTTGTTCATCAAAAGATTAGAAGTGTCCGTTATTGGAGGTTCTATTCTATTATTTCGTTTATATCGTTAAAGCTGGAAATTAAATTCTGTTTCGCTCCTATTATTTGCATTCACGCGAATTTAATGGCGTTTAAGGAAGATTTTAAGAGCTATTCTCACATAAATTATGTGATATTGCTCATAACTAAATTATAACTCGTAAAATAAGCTTAAAATCTTAATTATATAACATAGAACATTTAATTTTATAAGTTATAAAGACAAATTGACCACCGCATCAGCTAGATCATAGGAGGATGGATACTTTTGGATACCATTCCGCCTACAAATTCGCATTAAAAAAATATGCATAATTTGACCATTTTGAGTGGCCATTTTGGAATAAAATCAAAATTAAATAATTTCCCGCCTAGAATGCAGTTTATACAAAAGATGATGCGGATAAGCTCGCGAGTTTCATCTTCTTCATCACTTCTAGAATCGTCAAGCGCGTAATAATCTGAAATAATCGAGAATAATAATTAAGCTTTTATAAAAATAATTATAATTAATGAATAAAATGCATTGGAAATATAATTTAATCATATTAAATGAAGTTATTAGCTATATAAATTATAGTATTTTGCTATAGACTAACGCAATATTCGTGACACCATCATCTGACCTCAATAATTTTTTATATGTGTATATAAAATAGATATCGTTTTATTTTCTAATATATATATATAAATTATATATA